ACCAGGGAGCTAAAGAAAAAATGGGCTTCCCTGGTGTCACGGTGGTAAAGAATCCGCCTGCCAGTGCAGGAGATGCAAGAGACATGGGTTCCATCTCTGGGTCGGGAAGATCCCCTGAAGGAGGAAATGGAAACCCACTCCAGCGTTCTTGCTTGGAAAATTCCATGGACAGGGGATGCTGGTGGGCGATAGTCCCACCATGTTGCAAAGAGTTGGACATGACTGAGCACACACTATTATAGAGAAAAAACAGATTGCAGGCCCCCACTTGCAGAGATTCTGATTCAGTAGGTATGAGCCATGACACAAGAATTTGCCTTTTTCACAAGCTCCCATCGAATCATCCTCTGCTGATGCGGCCTTCCATGGATCCCGCTTTGAGTAACACTGTTCTAGAACCTTAGGGCTTGGAGAGGAATGAGGGGAGGACTGTGTGACAAATGGAAATCTGATTATTAACCTGTACATTCTGGAGCTAAAGGCCACTCGGATGAACAAGTGTGGAATTTCGTGAGCTGATCATTTTAGTGTCTGCTTGTTTGGAGTTTTCTGCTCGGGTGCCATGTGACCAGGTCACATCATTATTTTTCTGTATCTCAATCATTATCCTAAAGGGGCTAATTTTTTCATTAAACTAAAAGCTTCTTTACTGGTCTCCTTTGCTCAGAGACAAATACTAACTCCGCAAATGTAAAAGAGCTTTCAATTATACTATTCCATGAAGCTAGCTTTCCCTGGGCCTGGTGGAGACAGGTCAGTCTGGACCCTTCATGCTCTGCAAACAATGAAACAGGACAAGGACCAAAAGGAGACCCAGGGTGGGGTGCTCTGTCAGCCAGGTGGGGGATCAGGCTGAAAGAAGTGAGAGGAAGGGGAAAGAACGCAGTCTACACCTTCACCTTAAAACTGGAATGAATTTCAACTTTTATGTCCAAAAAAAAAAAAAGGGAGGGAGGGACAGAGGGAAGGCAAGAGAATCAATTCAGGGTTAAGGACTGAATGTCCTACTAAAAGCTGGAAAAATAACAAGCATATGTCTGAACCTCGTCAGGAATAAAAGCAGGAGACATACAATTCTGTGCTCTCCAGCAAGCTGTCAGAAAAGATTTCCCACAAGCTGGGAAATTCTCCCAGGTCTGAACTGCAGAGGTAGGTGCACGCACACAAGCCCCCCGGGGCAGACTACGTGCACACTCACAGGCACCAAGTCTAATTGTCACTAGTTGAACAGGAAAAAGATGCCAAATTAACGCACATTAGAAATCCCTCTCTATCTAATGAAGCCATCAGCAATTTCAATTTCATTTTTCATTTGTTAGTTAAAAAAAAAGAGCACTTAGCAAATAGTTATCTCCTAGACCGCCACGGGTGCTTTTTCAGTTCTGTACTACATTTGTAAGCAAATGCAATTGGAAATAAAACTGCTTCAAGTATTTGCATTCCAGCTTTTTTTATTCTATGGTTTAAAATTTAGTAAAGTTGTTTTCTTTTTTTGCCTGAGATTTGAACCCATGAGGTGCATCCCTGTCCAGCAGGATCCTGCCAAGGGGAGAAGGCTTCATAACACAGGTCCCCTCACCTCTCTTCTGCCTTCCCAAGCCATTTCAGCTCTAAAGCACTTTTATATAACCCTGCAGGCAGTGCTGACTCAAACCACCTGCCGTAGGTGACGAATGATTGTCAATCCTGGTGGTTGCTATAGACAGCCTCCTAGAACAACAGGGCAGAACTCAATGCAGTCCTCTTGAGTCCAGATCCTTCACTGTAGAGATGAGGAAACAGATCTTCCGAGAGAATGAAGGATTCTATCAAGGCCATCCAGCTATTTAGCAGTAGAGGTGGGTCAAAATTGAGAGGTCTGACTACCAGTCAGTGTGAGCAGAAACATGCTCCCCAATTAAATGGAACAAAGCTCTAAACCAGGGGTCCCCAACCTCTGGGATCTAATGCCTGATGATCCGAGGTGGAGCTGATATAATAATAATAGAAATAAAGTGCACAGAAAATTTAATGACTTCAATCATACCCAAAACAACCCACCCACCAACCCCTTCACTCCAGTCTGTGGAAAAATTGTCTTCCATGAAACCAGTCCCTGGTGCCAAAAAGGTCGGGGACCCCTGTTCTAAACCAAAAGCAGCCCTTCTACTCTGGATTGGTAAGGACCTCTAACACAGACTAGGTAGCATTTAAGAGGAACACTGGATGCCAAGATCCTATTTGAAATCTTGAATTCCTCCCTGCTCCCCAAGTCTTAGCACAATGCCTATATCTTGTATTGTCTGTAGGCATGCCTGTTTTCTCAGAAGGCTGCATTCTCCACCAGGGAAGGACAGTCCGGTTCATCTTGCAGCCCCCTGCCCACCAGCGACTTAGCATAGATTTTGTCCATAATGAGGACTCGGTTCACCTTTTAGAGAGAATGAAAACATCCAGGCAGGGCAAGATGGCAGAGATGCTCTGGTGATTGAGAAAGGGAACAAGAACAATTATCTGAATTTTCTGAAATAGAATATGCAGGGAGGACAGCTGCCTGGAGAATTCCCAGCAAGTGTGTTCTAGACCAACACAAGTGTTCCTGGAGCCCATTCAGTCATTCTTTTCTTTTTAGGACATTTTGTTGTTTAAATTCCTGTACACCTCTGATCAACTGCTGTCCTTCCTAAGAGACCAGCACACATGTAATCCCTTTTGAAAAGCTTAACCAGGCCTAATTGAGTCATAATACTAACCCAAATTAATTAGACTTTTAGAAAGTTGCCAACACTCTTGGAGGTAGGCTGGGCTCTGACCCCTCCACAGATTCACGGGGAGTAAGTGTTCAAGTTTTAAAACCTTGAAAATCTGCCAGAGGCCCCTAAATAAAAGTCCCTTGCTTCTCAAAGACATTCACTCCATTAGCTTTTTACTTCCGTAGTAAAAAAAATAAAAACAAACATCAGATTCCAAGAAGGATCACAGAACTTCGAAGTTCAAAAAGCCTATTTCTGTATCTTTTTTTTTTTTTAATAACAAAGAGGCAATCTGGTATCAGCTTGTAACCCCTTAGTGGAATCTCCCTCTCAGAAGATTGTTATTTCATTCCTGGAAACCCAAAGTATCTGTGACAGAAGCAGAACCAAGTATCTTTAGCTCTAAAAGTCATTGAATCAAGCAAATACAATTAAACCTCTCAATCTCTGGGTCTTACCACTGAAGCAATCCAAATATACCCTGAGCATCCATCCACTAACTTTAGTACCATAAACTCTGTCTGTAAAGGCTTCTTATTAATCATTAGCAGCAAAATTTGCAGTCTTATTCTCAAGGCACGTTTATTTCTCATTTGAGAAAAATTCTTTTAAAATTCCATTCTTAAAAAAAATTCCACCTTATTCTCACAAAGCACCTTTGCGTAGAGAACCCCAAAATCATCTAAAAGATGACCTCTTGTGAAGATTCTCACACCTGGGTGACAGGTGGCACACAGGTATTTCCATCCCCATTTAAGAATGAGGAAACAGCCTCAGGGACTTAAACTGAGTCAATCATGAGGCTGAAATAGAAACCAAACTTCAAGATGACCTTGAATCAAATCCAGCCAGAAAAAAAGGCGTAAATTGATAGTGACACTTGTTTAGCCGCCTATTGTGACTCCAGAAAATAAGTCAGAATTGCCCCATAAAAAAAACTACCATTACTGTCAAATCCTAAGTATTATCGCGCATACGTCATTGCCTTGGCAAATTCACCACAGAAGTTTGCTGTTTGGGGTTACAGCCATATGTTATACTTGCTGTATCTTCTCTGCTTTATTTTCCTTCCTAACTGTAATCCATAGAACACTAAAATGACTATTTGTCTCACAAAATTACTCGTTACAATATGTGCTTATTCTTAAATTTTGCAATTCACTTCAAAATCTATTCAAAAGCATTTGTTAATTAGTATTAGGACTAAGGATATGGTTAGAAGGAACTGCTCCTCTAGATGAAAGCAAAGTCACTTTTAAAGACATTTTCTAAAGATCGAGCAACCCCATCAAGGCCACCAACTCTCTGGTAGCCAAGCTGGGTCAGGATCCAGAACACAAGTATATACCAGCCAATGCCCTTCACTTTGTGGTGCAAAATCATGTCCCATTCTCCATGCCAAAAGCTTCCCTCCCGCTCCCAGATCAATCAGGATTCCTAATGCCAATAAGATGAATTTACGGGGAGCACTGAATGCCTGTGTAAAACCCTCTTTTCTCCTCAAAAGACCCTTCCGTCTTCTTCACCTCTGCTTTCCCACTTTCACGTTTTTCATGCCACTAGGACGTGAAGCCCAATGAACTTGGACTTGCTTACGATGAGGAAAAAAGCAAGAGCTGAAAAATCTGGCTGCCATCAAAATGCCCCTCCTTCATGGCAAAATGCACAACTCTTTCTGTCTTTGTGACAAACAGAAGGCATATGAGATGAGGAAAGGGGGACTCAGAAGAGGAGAGATATCAGAAGTGTGTACTAATAAACCTTAAGGCCAAGTTGAGGGTATAATACAGCTGGGGCAGTAAACCCCCCAAATAAGGAGGGATAAGAAAACTCAAATCTCTGCGAACTCAAGTTAAAAACAAAATGCACAAAATATTCTTTTGACTGATGAGTAACCCCAGGCTCTCCAGTGACTTGGGGGGAGGTCATTTAATTTTATAAAGCAATATCTGGATGGAATCTAGACTTTCAATGAACTTTCAAAATCCCAATGAACCCATCACTCCAATTCTCTGAGTCAAATTCTTTCTTGCTAAAGTTGCTGAGACATGAAGGCTTCTTGGGACCAAACTTTCAGCTCAGAAAACAGAAATTAAGGGCCCTCTTCCCAGAGCATTTAAATTATGTTTTCTTGTCTGTTTTCAGGCTCTCTGAAGGTGGAGGCTGGAGCTGTCTGGAACACCAGGCACGGTACCTGGATCATGGTGGGTTCATTTTTTACAAAATGAATGATTTGCCGAGACATGATAAAGACTGAATTTTACTTACACTTATGGGAGAGAAGTACATCAAAGGAATCCGCCCACCTCGTAGCTTCTTCTGTGGATAGTCTCCTAGGAAAGAAGGAACATCTGTCTTGAATCTTTCTGTAATGACCTCCTCTCCTTCAGCCACCACTGAGATTTGCTCATGAGAACAAATCAAAACAATGGAGGGCAAAGGAAGACCATTCTTGGACTCCTGCAATCCTGTCGCTAGAAATGTACACATTCTTAAGTAGCTGATAGAAGAATCCCAGAATTGGGATTCCGTAAGTTTAATAAGTTGGCTTTCAGTCTAAAAAGCAAAACTAAGAAAGTACATCATTTAAAGATGCCCCTGTAGGGGAATTCCCTGGCAACCCAGTGGTTAGGACTTGGTGCTCTCATTCCCAAGAGCCCAGGTTCAATCCCTGGAAGGGAAACTAAGATCCCATAAGCTGCACAGGGCAGCCAAAATAAATTAAACGCAAAATTAAAAAAATAAGAAATCAGATGTCATTGTAAACCAACTATGAAAGTTAAAGTGTTAGTTGCTCAGTCACGTCCAACTCTTTGTGACCCCATGGACTATAGCCCGCTAGAATCCTCTGTCCATAGAATTCTTCAGGCCAGCATACTGGAGTGGGTTGCCATTTCCTTCTCCAGGGGGTCTTAACGCCCCGGGGATCAAACCTGGTCTCCTGCATTGCAGGTGGACTCTTTACCATCTGAACCACCAAAGCAACTATACCTCTACTTAATAAATTAGTTAATTAACATATCACAATCACAACGAAAAGAAGCTGGACTTGAAAACAAAACAGTGAGGCTGAGTTCCTGACTGCATCTCTTCCTGTCACCTTTGTTTCCTTACCTCTTTAATGGGGATAACGGCACCCATCACAGAACCCCATGAGGGTTAAACAAGGTCCCATCTGTGACATCACTTAAGACAGTGCCTGCACAGAGAACAGGCACTGAAACCAGATCATCTCAACCTAAGCAGATTTTTAAGAGTAGATTTGAGTGTTTCCAAACTGAGAAGCTCAGGTTGACAATTAAGTAGAACAAAGAAGTATTCTTCACTGCGGCTTTATAAGAGTGGCGCCTAATCTGGCTTTCTTAGGAGAAAAAGGAGGGTCCCTATTCTGAATTTTAAAGCCATATGCTTTGAAAAGGAAAATAACATTCTTTCATTCGTGTTCAAAGATAGAAAAGAAGCTGCTAAGAGACAGGAAGTTATTGTCACTCGGCTCATTTCTTCAGCCATCTAACAAAGAAGAAGTTGTATAGTCCCAGCGTGAGCATCCCACGGCCGACACTCCAGGGATGCAGTGTGGCCATATTACTCACTTTAGAGCACGGTTGGGTTTATCGGGAAGAATGGCTGTGAAATCACTACAAGAGTCAGACTTGTGAGACAGGCATCCCAGTCGAGTCCTCATCCCTTTGTTCCTGCAACAAACACAGGGGCAGAAAGATGGGGAACTGTCATGAAAATAACTGTCAGCCCCCTAAGCTCCCCTTAGGGAGCAGAAGCCAGCCCTGCCCCGCTCCCATCCTTCCCCAGGTGGCCCCTGAAGATTTCATGAGCGAGAGGAGAAACACCAAGAGGATCAAGGGCAATACTCACTCCCTATCTTGACGACCGGAATAGTAATAGGTCCCCTAGCCCTAGAGGCTTAACACTTTTTAAAGCTGACATGCAAGTTGATGGTAAGTCAATGAAGGTCATTAGCTTGGATGAATTTCTAAATTAGGATTCTCTGTGGGGAAAGGAAATACAGTGATGACAAAGTAACAATCCACATTTTGCTCTCCCTCTAGGAGGGCAAAGTAGCAGCAGCAGCAATAACTCCTGACTACAGAGCGTCAGTGATATCCACACGGAGAGCAGAGAGATGCTTGAGTGGTACAGTGATGCCTGTCACAGGATCTCAGAGAACAGACAAAGTAGGGACCTTCAGGGCAGGTCAGTTCCACCTCAGGTCTTTCCCATTCATTGCACAAACCTGAGGATAAGCATGAATGGCGACAGGCCAGTGAGGACTGATGCCTGCAGGTGGGAAGCAGAAGCAGTGGGTACAACCAGCAGCTAAGAACCAGGGTACCCTCTGTCAGCAATTTCACTTAACCAAGCTCTCATACACTTATTTGTATTTTGACTAATCTCAATCAACATATTTAAAATTTTAACATGCGTGCTTTAATTTCTCAAATTTTTAATTTGCTTAAGGACCAAACACTTTGCAGTTATATGTTGTGACAGCTCCAAGAGAAACGAAGATAATATCTCTTTCTAACTCTCAATATTAGCCCCCTTTGACCTTTCACTGAGATTGGAAAATTATGGCCCTGAGAGATACCTGTTTGTGTAAATAGAATTTTATTGGAACTTTATTTATTGGAAACACCCTGCTTGTTTATATATGGTCTGAAGCTGTTTTTGAACATAAGGGCACAGTTGGGTGGTTGAGGACAGACTGTATGGCCCATGAAGTTGACAATATTTACTCCCTGGTTCCTGAGAGATTAAGTTCATTGACTCCTGACCTCTAACCGTGACCACTCCTTGGATGGAGGTCAAAGATAAGAGGGAGGAGTTTGGGATGAGCAGGACTTAAAAGTGACTGATAAAAGGGGACCGCCAGGTGCACACTGGTGACAATTTGCCATGGAAATAGTCCAAGAAGACTTATTCTCCTTGTTAAAAGGAATTTCTTCCATCCTGGTTTCCCTTCCTCATTTTCACAAATCCTGGATCTGGGCAGAGATGTGAGATCCAATTTAAGCGCTTTTACTTCAGATGGGCTTTCATCTCTGACCCTGGTCATTGTTCACAGAAATCTCATCCAGCAAATGTCTATGGGGATGGTATTACCTGTGGCGGGGGTGGACAACACGTGCACAGCCCATCTCCAAGGAGCCTTTTAAGGCCAGAACATCCAAGGTCCCAGAAATAACTCCTCTCCTGCACATCCTGTGCCCCCAGCTCTCATCTCAGCTAGGCTCACTGTGCAGCCATCGATTTCCTTGCTTTTCAAAACACTGGCTACAGCCATTCTCTCTCCCTCGACAGTGAGCATGTCATGTCCACTTGCTCTTACAAATCACAGGGTGTCCCAGCACCAGGCTAATGGAGCAACTGATTAAGGGTCCTTGAATCATCACATTCCATGAATTTAAGTGCAGGTCCTGCCCAGGCTGCACCACAAGCCAGAACCAACTCAGAGTGAGTTGGCTCATTCCTCGGTGCCTCAGAAACATCAGTCAGTGAATAGTCAGGTCGATGCCCCCAAAAGAGCAATTAAGAGGATTTCAATAAATGGCAAATCCATGCAAGCCATCTAACAAGGTTTAGCAGGGGCCAGTGTAAAGGGTGCTGCTTGTTACCAAGACAACGGTGAGTCTCCCAAATAGTTTGCAAAAATCTTCCATAAAATATCCTTTGGGACAAAATAGTTCTGACTTTCTATCTTGTCTAATTGAAACTTAACCTTTTCATTAGGTCAGAAATAACAGGAGCAGAAGCGCGAGTCAAAGGTTAAGGTTACTTTAAAAACAAAGGTGCCTCATCTTTCTTCTCTATCCCAGTAACACAGAGAGACCCCTAAATGATTCAGTACAAGCTCATGCACAGCCCCACCCTCTGAGTCCCATCCCGTGGGGCAGGGCTTGGCGCTAAGGCAGGTTCTGCTTGCAAGGCCCCAACTCTGCAAGAAGCATCTAGGCAAACACAGCACAGTCCACACAGGAGGCGGGGGGAATGGAGGCCAGCGATCCACCTACAGGATTAGAAGGTTTGGGGCTGGCTCAGACAGCAGGGCAGGTGGGAAGGTGGAAAAAGAGAAAAGAAAGGTGAGAAGACATGTTAGCATCAGTTACCTGCGTGGCATCAGTAAAGCGGCCATACGGGCGCCCACTTATGGTTAACCCTCTGGCTGATGTGCAGGGACGACAGGGCGGGAGATAAGACTGCAGGGCTCAGGGATTTACCCTTTCAGGTCCTCTCACCTAGAATCAAAGAATCTGCTGTAAGAGGGGGGCCCCTCTCTGACTGCACTGCAAGTCCTCGCAGGTGACTGTCTGCCAAGAAAATACCTCCCCACACACCCCCATCCCCCATGGATGTCTCCTGTCCTGATCAAGGGTGACCAACCAGGGTGGATGAGGACCAGGTGTTGGGAGGCTTCACATTGCCGCCTGTTGGTCAAGAGTCCCTGCTTCCCCGGCTACTGGCCATCAACGTAAAGTGGGACGCAAGCCCCTCCCTGGGGAGGAAGGCACGGCATCGCAAGCCCAAAATGACTGTTCTCTGTGTCTTACTCAAGTGGGGCCCAAGTGACCAGCCAGCCCTGGGTGGGGGAGGAGGGGTCAGCGCCTGCTCCAGAATCCTTTGATTGGCTGTTTCTCACCTCCCTCTGAGGGGACCTGTCCCGGAGGTGGGAGTGCCGGAGCCTGGGGAGGGCGTGAGCGGGAGGAAGGTTGGAAGAACTCCAAGGGAGGCTCATCAGGCACTGTCACCACTCAGGTTTGCTCCTTGGCGGGGATCACAGGCACAGGCTGAAGAAATGAATATGCAAGTCACTCTCTCCAGCCTAGATGGAGACTGCCTGACCTTCCACAGTTTGGGGACTGGCCTGTCCCTGACCTGAAGCAGGAAGCGCAGCAGGAAAACGGGGGTCTCCAGGTAGAGGCCTGATTGACTGACCCCCTCTTTCTCCTGGGGGTCCCACTCTCAGGGCGTCAAACCCTTTGTTCCCACAGACAAAATTGATAGGAAGAAACACGTGAGGAGAGCCGCCTATCCATTAAGGGTTCCCCTGGGAACCCTGACACCAAACATAGAATCCATTTTCAAAGAAACCTAATTTAGATAGATACGGGCCCAGCAAGATCTACGCAGGTTAAATTATTTTGATATCACCGGGAACATTTCACCAATACTTAAAAAAAAAAATACCTTCTCTCATACTACTATAATTAATCAAATTAAAAGATTACTTTATTAAAATGGGGGGGGGGGAGGGATTAGACTTTGTGTGCAGGAGACTGAGCAAGGGCTGTGTTCCTGACATCAAGGATGTTTCCTTAATCTGTGCCCTAACTGTGCATATACCTGCTTGCACAGAAGTCAGGAAATCAAAGTCCTTCACAGCCATAAGGGTCACCAGAAATCATTACTTGTGGTATCTTAGCCTTGTTTTCATTGACTTGTGGGTTAGAGCCCCAGAGGAGGGGGACACCCAGGCCAGGAGCCTTTATTAGCTTGGGGCCGAGCAGAATCAGGTACTACCACCCACACTCACAGCAGGCAAGGTCACCTGGGCAGCATCACCTGGCCTCCCGTTCCTGCCCTGCGGCTCTTCCAGTCCCACCACCATCCATGCCGGCTTCCCAGGGCTGCTTAGACATCTGCCTCTCTCTCTTCCTCGTCCAACACTGGCCACTACTGCCCTTTAAACCCCTCCACCACCCCTTATATCAGCTTAGAGTCAAGTACATAAGAGTTTGCAGGATACCCTGACTCCACCTTTCTCATTCATCCCAGCACCTGGGGTCTCTTCCTTACTTGATCCTCAATTTGTAGAAGAGTTTGGGGTTACCCAGAGCCCAGGAAGGTCAAAGGTGTGATGGTACCATGGTCCATGTGCCCTAATAAGTAGGCATCGAGTTACAGGTAACTCTGGGGCAGATAGGCTGAGACATATTGGAAAGAGAGGATACTCAAGGGGAAAGAAAAAAAAAAAGGTTAAAAGCAAAGAGCAAAGATTTATAAAGAGGGGAAGAGGAACTAAGAGCCTCAGCGGGAAGAAAGCAATCAATATGCATGGAGAGGCAGGTTAATTAAATATGGATAATGCAATCAGCCCACACGGGCACCCCGGAGAGGAAAGAGAGAAACCCAAGCGATACTCACTGTCTTTGACCAGTCCTCATGGCCTGCGGGTCTTTGCCAACGGGATGGTCAGAGAGGCTGCAGGTAAGGAGCTCTGGGGAAAGAGTAGATCTTTCTCTTAGCAGTCAAATCCTTGGCGGGTGAAGGGCATGTGTGCATGAACACAGAGGCACACTTGCGCACGCACACACACATACACACACACATATCCACACGCCTGCATGCACAACACACCTCCCACCACTTGAGCTGGGCAGCAAGCGGCCCCGCTGAAAGCTCTTCTCTCTGCTTGTCACATTCGGTAAATACTGAAGCAGCCTACACCCAGCGGGCGGCGGCTCAGCTCCCGGGCACAGGCTGCACGCCCATCCTTATTGGCAGGATGCAGGAGGTGCCCCTGAGCGGAGCTCGCCTGGCACTCCTCCCGCATCTCCGTCTTCAGCCTCACTAACCTGCTTCACTGCTCCTCTGGCTGCAGCTCAGCAGCTCAGGGAGAAGTTCCCACAGCCCAGAGCTGCCTCCCTCGGCACCCAGAGGCTGCCCAGGGGGGCAGCGAAGCTGGAGGTATTAACTCTTTCCCACCACCAGTGAGCTGAAAATCAAGGGTCTGGGTGGGGGGTGGGGGGCGTCTTCTAATGAGCTCTGCTGCTGGCTGAAGGCTGGTTGCTGCTTAGGGAGCAGGGAGCATAAAGATTTTGCCCCCAGACAGCTGCTGACAGCAGGAGCCAAGCCGAATCAAATCTCCTAATGAACCAGGAGGAGGGGGGCTGTCTTGCTGGGTGTGATGTGATGTGATAAATGCAGAGAGCAAGAAAGCTATGGGGCAGGTCACACATCTAAATTCCACCCCCTTTCTCCCAATTTCTATTGTGCCACACTGCCAAGCCACACCACACAACACTGAAATTACCCCCCTCTGCCACAGCTCAGCTGTCCCTCTTACCCTACAGTGGCGTTCGTCCCCCGCAACCCATCCCAGTCCCCAGAACCAACCACACCACTCCTCACTTCTTAATGAGAAATCTCCACCTCCCCAGACTTGTACATTTCCAAATCGATGCTCTTGCCTCTCACCTGGGTTTCCCTACACTGGAAATTCACCCCTCTCCCTCATCCATCACCTAGCAACTTCCCCCGACTTGTATTTGTCATGGAATGAGACTTTTCCCTTTGTTCTGCCCAATCCGCACATTATCTCTATTTTTCTATCTTCTACAGTCTTTTTTTTTTTTTTCTTTCAAATCGCCTTACCCACATGGATCTTCACACTGCCCGGTTCAGTTCCACAAGGAGGACTCTCTCTTCCTGCTTGCCCTAGTACAGTAATTCTCCGAGTGTGGTCCCTGGACCAGCAGTGTCAGCATCACCTGGGAATGTGTTCGAAATGTAAAGTCTTAGGCCCCACCCCCAGACCTACAGAATGGGAGACTCTGGGGATGGGGCCGGTCTTCCAGGTGATTCCAATGCATGCTAAAGTTTACAAACCGTTGCCCTGGGATAAAGTTTACTTACCTTCTTTCTCCTCATTCCACTCCAGGTCTCTAAGGCACTGCCTCCTGCTCCCACCCAGGAACTAGCTCCCAGTGCACCTAGACTTTGCTGCAAATAATTTCTGAAACCCAGAATGCAGCACTCGCTGGAGATATCAGCAGATATCACTATGGAAAGGGATGCTTTTATTCTAAAGATACCGGACTCTATTTGTTGAACCGTTCACAATGTAGAAAGCATTGTCGTGCATTGTCACTTAACAACCCCTTGCCACAGTCAGAGACAGTATTATCATCCCTGTGACACAGATCAGAGAACTGAGGGTAGAGAAGGTGACCTGCCTTTTTCAAAGTGACACCACACGTCAGAGGCACTTCAAGGACCAGAACATGCTTCCTTATGACTTTTAGAGCAGAGCTTTTTCTACTACGTCACGCCAGAACCCAGTCTTTCCTGGCAGATCTGTTGGTGCATGGCCTGGCCCCTCACGGTGCAATGACTCTGCCGCAACCACACCGATGAAAGGATGAAATAAAAATCCTGATGCTGCCTCCACAGTGACTCACAGTCTCTCTCTGAAAATGTCCACAGTGCCCCTCTGTTAGGTAAAGGGAACTTCGTGTCATAAAAGGAGATGCAAACGAGCGTTTTCTAGCCCTCCGAATTCCTGTCTTGAACCCCGAGGCAAACTGGGATTTTGAGTTAAAGCATAAAGAGAATCATTCACTTCTGGGCATTTTCCTGGTGAACTGTACCATCAGAAAGAGGCACACAGATAAACCGGTGAATAAAAACCCAGTGAATAAAATCTTCCCTAATCCAAGGTAAGATTATACTATAAGGTGGATCCACCCCTGGATTCCTCATCCAGGGCTAATGTTTAATGAGCACTTAGTATGTGCCATTTTCATACTGTTCATACTCCTTTCATACTCCAAGGAGATCAAACCAGTCAATCCTAAAGGAAATCAGTTCTGAATATTCATTGGAAGGACTGATGCTGAAGCTGAAGCTCTGGTACTTTGGCCACCTGATGCGAAGAACTGATTCACTGGGAAAGACCCTGATGCTGGGAAAGATTGAAGGCAGGAAGAGAAGGGGATGACAGAGGATGAGATGGTCGGATGCCATCAGCGACTCAATGGAAACGAGTCTGAGCAAGTTCCGGGAGTTGGTGACGGACAGAGAAGCCTGGCGTGCTGCAGTCCATGGGGTCGCAAAAAGTCGGACATGACTGAGTGACTGAACTGACTAGTATGCGCCAGACACTGTGCTAAACATTGCACTTTGTTATCTTATTTAACTCTCACCAAAAACTTAACAGGCTTCTCTGGTGGCTCAGACAGTAAAGAATCTGCCTCATGCAGGAGTCCTGGGTTCCATCCCTAGGTCCAGAAGATCCCCTGGAGAAGGGGATAGAAACCCACTCCAGTATTCTTGCCTGGAGAATTCCATGGACAGAGGATGCTGGCAGGCCATAGCCCATGGGGTCGCAAAGAGCTGGACACAACTGAGTGACTAACACAAATTTACAAGACCAACGTCTCTATCATCTGTTTTACAGATGGGAAAACAGAGAAAAGCCATTTGTAAGCAACAGAGGTGGGTGTCTGATACCAAACTCGGTGTTTTCAGCCTATTCCACCTTTCGCCTGAACACAAAAGCAGGGTCGTCATGGGACACCCCCCCCCACTAGTGCTGACACAGGGGGCTGGAGGCCTCCTCCAAGGCTTACACTGCACAGTCCAGCATCCAGGATTTAAAGGCCCTGAAGAGACAGCGGAGTGTTGTACAGGACCCAAGGCTCGAGTGGAAGCTGACCCATACTAACCAGGCATCAGAATCTTCAATTAGCCTTGAGAGAATTAATACAGTCGCAGCAAGTCAGTAAGCCAACCCAAACATTTAAGGAGCGAAACCACACAATAAAGTTTTAAAAGAAAGAACAGGAATATAAAGAGCAGAGGGATGAGGGTGTGTAGACATGATTCTAGCATGAATAAAAAGAAAATTAAAAGCACTGCAAACTTTTGATTTATTTATTCTTTTAGCAACTCTCCTAAACACCAAGGAGTAAGCTCACAGCACCCCAGTTTGAGCAGCGCAGACCTAGGACAGGTCCCTCCCAAGGGAGGACTCTAGGGACTTCCCTGATAGTCCAGTGCAGCGGGCCCAGGTTCAAGATCCCAAGTGGTGCGGGTATGCATACTCAGTCGTGCCCAACAACTCCTGACGACCCCATGGACTGTAGCCCGCCAGACTCCTCTGTCTGTGGAATTTTCCAGGTAAGAATACTGGAGTGAGTTGCCATTTCCTCCTCCAGGGGATCTTCCTGACCCAGGGATCCAACTCACGTCTCTGGTGTCTCCTGCATTGACAGATGGATTTTTTTATCACTAGCGCCACCTGAAAAGCCCCAAAGATCCCGCATGCCACAACCAAAACCCAGTGCAGTCAAACAACTAAATAATTTTTAAGGGAGGACTCTTATCTTCCTTCCTATAGAGGCAGGTGTATAAAGAATTTAGGGGAGGGAAATTAAGTTGAACTGAGGGGATATGTATCCTGGCATGGTTTTCTTTCCCAAAGAAGAGAGATAGGAAAAGGCAAGCAGGTTGGAGGTCTAATGAGAAAGGCACTTGCTACTTGGACTCTGGTCCAGGGACGTAGAACTCTGGATTAGTCTCTGTTTACAGCTCCTGAGCTGCTGGCTGAAAACTAGGCTTAGGACGGCATCTCAGGTTGAGACGCATGGTTTTTTCCTGGGAAAACAATCATTGCAAGCCCTGCTCTGGCTTCTCGGCACTTCTGGCTGCCGGGCACCTTGATGATCGTCCCTCTTTGCACTTGCTTCTCTGTGAAACTCCATCCTCCCAAGCACCTGGCACAGCTTCTCTCCAGAATCAGGGCTTGGGTCCTAGCTCTCTTGAGCTCCACGCTGCATTTCAAGAGGTCTTCTAGACAGCCCCACCCCTCTCAGACCCTGCAGACTCTCAACTGTCTCCAAAACAACCACCTTCCCCTCCAAGTCCACCATTCTTGCTGGGCTCCTGTGTGCATTCATGACATCACTCTGTTCCAGACCCTCAAGGTAATAAATGCAGGTATCTGGGGTTTCTTTCCCTCCATTCCTCTTGCTGAATTGATTCCTAAACCTTATCATTGTATTTTTGATTTATTTCTGAATTTCCTCATCTCGCATCCATTGATGCTGCCATGTCAGAGGTTATCAGCACCCAGCACAATGCGTGCCCTTCCAACTCCCCTAAATAATTGATCTTCCTGTCCCTATTTCATCATCCCCATTCCCCACAAACCTTCTGGCACACTCCACTACCACAAGAGTGACCTACTGAATAGATCCATAAAGCAAATATTCCCCAGTGGTTCAGTGGTAAGAATCCACTTGCAGTGCAGGAGACATGGATTTGATCCCTGGGTCAGGAAGATTCCCTGGAGAAGAAAACAGCAACCCACTCCAGTATTCTTGCCTGGAATATCCCATGGACAGAGGAGCCTGGCGGGCTATAGTCCACGGGGTTGCAAAACAGTGGGACACAAATGAGTGCCTAAACAGCGACAACAAAGCAGATCATCTAT